CACCAACAAAGTATGGATATTAGACAATGCTCCTAAAGGGGTGATACCCATAGGTTGCAAATGGTTGTTTAAGAAAAAGTTGGGTGTAGATGGAAAAGTAGAGACTTTTAAAGCTAGACTGGTAGCTAAAGGTTTTCGTCAAAGACCTGGTTTGGACTACGATGAAACTTTTTCTCCAGTGGCTATGCTCAAGTCTATTCGGATCCTACTTGCTATAGCTGCTCACTATGACTATGAGATCTGGCAAATGGACGTTAAAACTGCATTTCTAAATGGTGATTTAGAAGAGTGCATATATATGACGCAACCAGAGGGTTTTGTAGTTAGTGGGAGCAGTGGAAAAGCATGTAGATTGCTTAAATCTATTTATGGACTGAAGCAAGCATCGCGGAGATGGAACATCTGTTTTGATGATGCTATCAAAGAGTTTGGTTTCATCAAAAATCCAGATGAACCATGTGTGTATAAAAGGATAATTGGGAGTATTATATCGTTTCTTATTTTATATGTAGACGATATACTCTTAATTGGTAATGACATACCGTCATTACAAACGGTTAAAATTTGGCTATCAAAAAGATTTTCTATGAAAGATTTAGGTGAAGCATCCTGTGTACTGGGTATTCAGATCTATAGAGATAGATCTAAAAGGATGTTAGGATTATCGCAATCTAGATACATTGGCAAAGTGCTAAAACGGTTTAGCATGGAAAATTCCAAGAAAGGTTTTGTACCTGCATCTCCTGGAATCTCCCTCTCTAAAAAGATGTCTCCCCGGACTGATGAAGAGAGGAAACGCATGAGTCTAATTCCTTATGCCTCGGCAGTAGGATCGATCATGTATGCCATGTTATGTACTAGACCAGATATCACTTATTCACTCAGTTTGGTAAGTAGATACCAATCTGATCATGGAGAAGAGCACTGGAAAGCGGTCAAGAATATACTTAAGTACCTTAAAAGGACTAAGGAGTTATTTTTGATATACGGTAAAAATGACCTCCGAATGGAGGCTTTTTCCGACTCAAGCTTTCAGAGCGATATCGATGATAGTAAGTCTGTATCAGGATATATTTTCACCCTCAATAGAGGGGCTGTCAGCTAGAAAAGTTCCAAGTAGAATACAGTAGCAGACTCGACTATGGAAGCTGAATACATTGCAGCTAATGATGCAGCTAAAGAAGCTGTCTGGATGAGGAAGTTCCTTTTAGAGCTGGAAGTTGTTCCCACCATTAAAGATACAGTACCTTTATATTGTGATAATAATGCTGCAATAGCTCTGAAAAAGGAACCTCAATCTCACCATAAGTCCAGACACATTCTGAGGAAGTATCACTTGATCAGGGAGATAGTTGATCGTCGAGAGATCAAGATTGAAAGGGTAGACACAAAAGATAATATAGCAGATCCATTCAAAAAGGCAATTGCTCGTTCACAATTTAAGAAACTTGTTGAGCTATTGGGTATTAGATACTATAATAATTGGCCTTAGTGCAAGTGGGAGTTTGTTAGATATAGATGCCCTGCAGGCAATTATTGTATATTGTAACAGGACCTATATGTATATAACATCCTTGTTCAAAATGATAGTATGCTATTTTGGTCAGATTTATCTGATGTTCTAAATATACAGATAATGTCCTTAGAATAAATACTAGACTATCAGACATTTCGGATAGTGATCGTAATGAAGAGATCTGATTAGTCGGTAACGTATATTCTAAAATGTTCCTAGTTGATGAAGTGTTGAGATAGGACATCATCACTTTGGTTTAGACTAGTGTATGCTTTATTTCTCCTTTTGAAGGAGATGATCAATCTCTTAGATCATTGATGTGAGACATCAAGATACAGTATACAGGTGACTCATTAGTGAATGAGTTGACTGAACGACTCGCCGAGAACATCTAGTTGGTAATATACTTAACTGTCAAATAGAAGTTCTCAAGTGATATAGTACATAGTAGTCTCTTGACCTGAGGCATGAGTGTAATATCTTATATGTCAGTAAAGATGTATTTAGAATTTTACCTAACCACAGTTCTTATTGAATTGTGCATAACGATTCTTGTTGGGTACATCCCGAGACATAGGTAGATATTGAGATGCCAAGAAGGGATTCGTCTCTCTCAGTATAGGGGTTGATGTCATAAGATTGTTTGATATAACTATAGCCTGGAAATCCTTGGCCAAGGTGAATAAGATAAACTGAGTGTCAGTTTGATCTTATAGGTTATGAGTTTAATATCAATAAACACTAATCAAGCTATTAGGGTTTGACAGTTTGCCATACCCTAGGCTCAATAGTTTGACATGGTTTGACGAAGAGACCGGACTGTACGGTATTATCATTGAGTGGTCCTGATAAAATTGGATAAGCATCTTGCAGACCTTTATCACAACTTATACCCGGGTGGTCTTCATGTGTAGCTAGCACCTCTGTTGTACTTATGGATATGATCCACTACCGAGTTTTTTAAGTTGGGCCCTAGAGTCACACCAAGCGCGTACTTGAATCCTATGAAACACAATTTATGGAGGTGTCCACACTGAGTATATCGTGGATATTGCTCACATCCTCCTTCCACTTATGAGCTGTAAGAGGGTCTGGTGACCCTTGAAACTCTGGTGCCCTCATCTTCTTGTATCTCTCTACCATACGGAGCCAAGCTTCCTGCTCCGTGGATCTATCTAGCACTGCTAGTAGAATAACTGCAGGTGCTGCCTCTCGGTCTCTCTCTCTGATCGGGACGGCTGGTATCCCCTGCTACTGAGCTACAGGTGGTGGTGGCGTCCGAGGTGCTATGTGAGTAGTTACCAACTCCTCTATGGCTGTCTTCTTTCTTATGGAAAGGTTAATGAAAAATTAGCTAAGTGTTTTTTTCCATAAGAGAATAAAAGAGAGCTCTTCTCTTACTAAACTTTAGCAATATTTGAGCAAGAGAAAGTAGTAAGATTTTAAGAACCCCGGGGTGGATATCTTACCTTGTGTCTTAAGAAGACTCCCTTTTTATCAAGCCCACTTGAAGACTTGGAGATCCACTACGAGGAGATTTTCTACTACAAGGAGCAAGAGGTAGGGATTATTCGATCTTCCATCGAATCACGCTACGAAAGTATGACTTTCTAACTCTTGTATGCTCACTTAATAATAAGGATCATATTAGATTTAATTAGACGATCCATATGAATATTTCATGCTCTCTACATGCTTAGTATTTTTGTACATACATGTCTTCTGCTGTGTATTATGCATGTAGATATAGCACGATATCCTTCACTTTAACAGTGCCAGTTGACCTCCCTTAACTTTTGGGTATATCACAAAAGCTGCAAACATTTGAAATTTCTTTTCAACATTCAACCCTTGCTCCCTAACCGATCGGTGTAATGGTGGTTTTCTGAAACTATATCACAAGTTCATGGGAATTTTGAAAAATAATGTTGGAAGTTTGGATTTATATTCTAAGATGTTTCAAATTAATTTCCCTAATTATTTCTTCTACTATTATTGATTAGAGGGACTAATTTCAAAATAAGGCTAAATATCATTAAAAACTCCTTAACTTTGGATGATTATTGGAAAACACCCCTTAACTTTCAAAATATAAAAAAAACCCTTAAATTTGGGGGCAGAAAACCCCTTTAACTTTGAGTTTTTATTATAATGATCTCAAAGTTCAAGTGGATTTTTTAATAAAATCTAAAAGTTGTCAGGGTGTTTTGTGGTAATCCCTATACTTAAGGGGGTTTCTGATATTTTAAAAGTTACGGGAGTTTTCCGATGATTGTACAAAATTAAGGGGGATTTTTTGATACTCACCCTTCAAAACAACTTAAGAATTGGGGAACGATGAAAGCAATCTCAATGATTTGAGGGACCAATTTGAAATATGAAGAATGTAAGGGACTAATATCCAAACTCCCCCTAATATTTAGCAAAAGCTAAATAGCACTTGCAGGTACTTCTCCCTTGCACACCCCAGCTTGTATTTGATAGCAAAAAAAAAAAAAAAAAAATACCCTAAAGTTGTTTACCTTTCTACTTGTGAAATCTAGTGCGATATTTGCGTAAACGGACGCTTGGGGATGTTAATCACAACCGGAAGGATAGTGAGGAAGCAAGCAGGCCAGGGCAGATCACTGCATTTTTGTTATGCGTCTTGCTTTGATGGAGATGAGGAATCACCAGTTGAGGTTTCGGATGATACAGGGATTGGTGGAATTCGAAACGAAAGAAGAGATGCAGGAGCTGTTCATTTTGGATAAGCAACCCCTGGCACGGCTTAGAGAAAATTAAAAACATTGCATTCAGTGCCTTAAAGTTCTGGGAGAATATGTTGAGGTATCAAAGCCGCTTCTGCAAGAAAGAGGTGTCCACGGGTGCATTTACCTCTTGCGACGCTGTTTGAAGGATGAAGATCCAAGATTACTCTCTGAAGTGCTCAAACTAATATGTGCCTTAGCTCGTCATAGGAAATTTGCGTCCGCATTTATTGACAACGGTGGTGTGCAGGAATTTCCATCTGGAAAAATTATTTAAGGACCTAAAATATGAGACCAATAGGGGGGACAAGTGAGGTGTCCCCCTCCTATTGGATAATGAGTTGGCCATCATTAATGATGGTCAACTCATTATCCAATAGGAGGGGGGGACACGTGGCGGGCTCTGCCGCTCTGGATTAGCCACGCCGAGCGCTGCAGGGGGCGCTGACCCACGCGCAGGGGCTGGTGGGATGAGGACACGTGTTTTTTTCTTATTGGCTGCTATGATTTTTGAGATTTTTATCTCATCCTAATTATTTGGGGTCAATTATTTCATAGTAAATGAATTTTTTTTAATTTTTTTTCACCAAAAGTCATCATTTTTTATACTCTATAAATAGAGTCTTGTTTCATTTCATTTGGACACAGAAAAAAAACGCCTTTTTTCCCTCTAATTTTTCTATTAGCCTCCAATAAACTCTTGCTTAGTAGCTCTAAACATCCTTTTTAGCAAAATGGATCCCAACAATAACCCTTTCAACACCCAAAATTCTACTAATTACCCTTTCAACTACCCAAATCCCAACAATTATCAATTTCAAAATCAATCTTCCAACCAACAATGTCCCCAAAATATGCCAAATTATGGATTTGCTCCAAATTTCATCATGCTGTCATCTGTTCCAAATTATCGTCCATATTATGGATCAATGATGCCATATTCATCTCAAGCACCCCCTTATTATTCTTTTACTCCAATGGGAAATGAAAATGTTCAGAATGTTGGAGCAAATGAATTTACCGAATTTTCTACACAAATGGTTCTTGGTGGCATGAGCGGTGGTCATGAAGCCACTCCAAATCCAGAGGATTCAACTCCTGCTCGCCGAAAAAGCCTCAGATGGACCACCGAGCAAAATTTGGTTCTACTTAGTGGGTGGATTAAATATGGAACAGACAGTGTTGTTGGGAGAAACCAAAAAAGTGAATCATACTGGGGTAAAATTGCTGATTACTGTAATGAGCATTGCTCATTTGATCCTCCCCATGATGGAGCTGCGTGCAAAAATCATTACAACTACATGAACAAAATACTGGGCAAATGGATTGGCGCTTATGATAATGCTAAGCGTATGCAACAAAGCGGGTGGTCGGTATCTACCCTTCCTATCCGACTTTCATTGATGTACCAATATCCACAAATCTCATCTATCTAAAAAAGTATCAATGGATCCATCTGAATTTCCTTTTGATATTGAAGCTTACAAAAGACAGTCTGAAATCGAAGAGAGGTATATCGTCAACCGGTTTAGGGAGCGTCGAAACAAAATAGAGGAAGACTACGCACCTCGTAGCAAGAGAAAATATTTCAAGAGGGATCATGCAGCGGCAAACCAAAGATTGATTGACGACTACTTTGCCAATCAACCAACATATGACGATGCAATGTTTCGCCGGCGATTCCGGATGCAAAAACATGTTTTCCTTCGGATCGTCGGGGACCTATCAAGCAGTGACAACTACTTCACCCAAAGAGTTGACGCAGCCAATAAAGAAGGTATATCTCCATTAGCAAAATGTACCACGGCCATGCAAATGTTAGCATATGGTGTGGCAGCCGACGCGGTCGATGAATACATCAAAATAGGAGGTACTACAACAATGGAGTGCTTGCGTAGATTTTGTAAAGGAATCATACAATTGTATGAGCCTGTGTATCTCAGAGCCCCAACTCAAGAGGACCTGCAAAGAATATTGCAGGTCAGTGAACTGCGGGGGTTCCCGGGGATGATTGGGAGTATTGATTGCATGCACTGGGAATGGAAAAATTGTCCTACAGCATGGGAAGGTCAATTTACTGGGGGAGATAAGGGAACCACCACTATAATTCTTGAAGCAGTTGCATCTTATGATCTATGGATCTGGCATGCCTTTTTTGGATGTCCGGGAACATTGAACGATATAAATGTTCTAGACCGTTCACCAGTGTTCGATGATGTTGAACAGGGAAATACTCCAAGAGTGAACTTCTTCGTGAACCAACGTCCGTATAATATGGCATACTATCTAGCTGACGGTATCTACCCTTCCTATCCAACTTTCGTCAAATCAATTAAACTGCCTCAGAGTAAACCAGACAAGTTATTTGCACAATATCAGGAGGGATGTCGGAAGGACATCGAACGTGCATTTGGAGTGTTGCAGGCTCGATTTAAAATCATTCGCGAACCAGCTCGCATGTGGGACATAGCCGATTTGGCTATCATCATGAGGTCATGTATCATATTGCATAATATGATTGTTGAGGATGAACGAGAAACATATGCTCAACGTTGGACCGATTTTGATCAATCTGAGGCAAGTGGGTCTAGTACACCGCAACCATTCTCGACCGAGGTGCTACCTACATTTGCAAATCATGTGCATGCTAGATCCGAGTTGCGTGATTCAAATGTACATCACGAATTGCAAGCAGATCTAGTCAAACACATATGGGCAAAATTCGGAATGTTTCGTGATTAAAGAAATTTTTAAGTCTCTGTGTGTGATTTAAGAGCTTTATTGTTTGTGAGTTGAGTCTATTGTACTAATTAAGTTATGTGTGTTTTATTAGGTGTGTCGTGTGCTTATTAGTGTATTGTATTGCATTTTAAGTTTTTTGTAACTTTATTTGTTTTAATAATAATTATCCCTATTTCTCTTCTTTAATACTTGCAAGAAAAAAAATTAATTAAGAATATAAAATAAGAAAGAAAAAATATTTAAAAAATTATTTAACTTTTAATTATTTTAATTTAATTTCAATCGATGATTGTTATTAATATGTAATCACAAAAACAAAAACACAAAAGAAAATAAGAATATGAAATAAAAGTGGTGGGGTAGGGTGTTGAATTTTATTAAACAAAACCATTGTATAGTGTAAAAGTTGAGTGGGTGTTGAATTATTAGGTGGAAGAGAGAGAAGATGACGTGGAGTGTTAAAAAGTAAAAAGTAGGGTGTTGAAAAACAAAACCATTGTTGATAGTCTTATTCACTGTTGGTTACCTTAAGGGGCTGTTTGTTTGCCTAAAAAAAGAGGGAAATCAAAGAAAAGGAAACCTATTTCTAAGAAAAATAGGTTTTGGGATTGTTTGGTTGGCTAAAAAAAGAAGGAAATCAAAGAAATAGAGATGAGATGAGATGAGTTGTCACCTTATCATAGGATGATGTGAGTGATTTTTAATAAAACTTGTTTTGATGTTGTTTGGTTGCCGGAAAAAATAAGGAAACGAATTATAAGAAACTTATTTCTTGTAATAGGTTATTTTCTTTTGTTTGGTTATTTCTTAAAAATAAGAAAATAGATGAGATGAGATGAGTTGTCATTATATTATTGGATGATGTGACCCACACTTAAGGAAATTGTTTTCCTAGCTTTTTGGGAGGAAAACAAAGAAATGAAATGTTAATGAGATGAGATGAGTTGTCACAATCTTATTGGATGATGTGAGTGATTTTTAAATATGAGATGAGATGAGTTTAGTGATGTTGTGGATGAAAATAATATTTTATTAAATGTGGTGGATACGATGAATGAGTTGTTCGATAAAAATAATATTTTATTAGATATGGTGGATGAGTTGTTGGATAAAATAATATTTTATTAAATGTTGTGGGTGAGTTTTAGGGATGGAAATGTGTGAAATTGTACTTTTTAAGATTTCTTGGTTTTAATTTCTATTTTTTGGTTTTTTAGGAAATAACCAAACAGACCCAAAAAGGACATTATGGAATGTGTTTGTGCATTTTTTTTCTAACATATTGTGTCAAGTGGTTGAGTTGGCACTTCAGCTTCTCGAGTGTCCTGACGATCGAGCTAGGAAAAATGCAGCCCTTTTCATCGGGTTTACATTTGTGTTCAGAGCCATTGTTGATGCTTTTGATGTGCAAAACAGTTTGCAAAGAACTTTAAACATTTTACTTGTCGCCACTTTTGCACAAGTTTTGACTAAATCAGAGAAGCAAATTGCTTATAATACATGTGCTGCACCGTGGCGATACTTCAGAGCAAACCTATAAGCCACTTGACATCAGCAATGAGGCTATGGACGCAGTTTTCACTAGTAGAAAAACGAGTAACCTAGATGGAAATTTTCGTCTAAGTTGCTCCATTTCCCATCTAGGTTGGTACACCTAGATGGAATTCCATCTTGTTTGCTCCGTGTAGTCTGATTCCGTCTAGATTGGGACAAACTAGACATAATTCCGTCTAGGTTGACCAACCTAGACGGACATCAACCTAGACGGAAGTAAGAAATCCATCTAGGTTGGCGATCTAGACAGAAATCCATCTAGATTGGTAACCTAGACAAAATTCCGTCTAGGTTAGCAACCTAGATGGAATTCCGTCTAGGTTGGTACTGTTGCTACAGTAGCAATAGGTTGCTTTACTACAGTGATTTTTTTTACAGAATCTATGTTCCATGCTATATAATATTCAACACCAAATCATGTTCATATCCAACCCAATCTAATTATATTTCAATATCAAATATAATTATATTCAAATAATACATTCACCAAAATACTAGAGTATAACATAAATTATTTACATAGACAATAACTAATTTTCACGTGTCAATGATTTATACAATGAAAAAGTTCGCGAAAGCCATGAGAAAGGTAAATTTACAGATGTGAAGAGAAGTAGAGACAAAGCAGTATTATTCCTAATCAAAATCAAAGAAACTGATGTCCTTCATCTCAGAGTAGTATACATTCTCCAAACGCATGTCCTCCTCCTGTATCAATACAAGATAAAAAAAATCCAAATAAGAAACAGAAAATCCAATAGAACAAACTAATGAAATATAAAACATAAGCAAACATAAACAGGAGGAGTATTTTGAAAATTCAATAGAACAAAAGCTTCTCACAATTCACAAATGTCAAACGCCATATCCAAAATGTAATGAAAAGTATTATAATAAGCCAATGTCATTGATTTAATTCACTACTGAGGCATGCAACAGGCCATGGAGGTCATCGTCAAGTCCATTGAGTATTTTGAGGGAGAAATGATTTATGAGTTGTAGAACTTAATTGAAGAAGCATGGATTGATTTGGGTCTTAACAATATGCAATCTGAATGCATTGTAGTTGGTTCTAAGTTACCTTGTAAATGCTTTATGCTTGTGATATGGAGCATAAAAGAATTCAATCAACACTGGTTTACTATGTACTAAGATTCACTTTCAATTGATGAATGGGCAGGAAAATCGATACTCAATACGGACATTAACGTAAACAAACGAAATGTGGCATTAACGTTGATAGTCAAAATGGACAAACAAGAAATAACTTACATGGAGGAAAAAAATGAGGGAAACAAACAAGAAAGAAAAGAAGTTGCAGAGGAATAACTTACACTGGAGGAGTCTGTTGACGCTCAACAGTAAACATGTGAACAAGTTCACTTCCAGTGCTATTGCCAGATCCATTGCCACTGTCAAAAAAAAAAAAGATTCAAAAAAGGAAGAAATAATGAAGTCAATTTTTGATTCAGACCTAGTCTTCACAACACACACCTTTTCTCTTTATGTATATATTTAAGAGCACTGGTTTCATGATTTGTTGTAAACCAATAAGTCTAATAACTCAGCTTGGACATCTCATTTCTAAATAATAAAGATGGATGCACTTTTAAGTACTAATGCCTGCATATTTGGACACGGACCTGGGTGGACAATGTTGATACCTATTTATCATTGGTTGGACATCTAAAGCTTCAAAATATTTTGTTCATGGCATGACTGACCAGTAAAAAAAGAACCCAACATTGTCAACATTCTGAACATGAAGACGTCAGCCCTTCATAAAACAAAGAAAGCGACAGATATCATCTTTAAATGTACCCATAAATTGTAATACCCCAACCCTTGAGAGGGTGATGTGATTAGTATTGATAGATTTGATTGGAATACTCATACCACCAAGATGCATCTTCTTTTCGGGAACCCACCTCTTAAAAACTCCAAAGTTAAGCGTGCTTGGCCTGGAGAAATTCTAGGATTGGTGACCCCCTGGGAAGTTTTCCAGGGAGCGTGTGAGTGAGGACAAAACGTGCTGAAAAGACATGTGATGGTTTGTGAGGCCAGTCCATCAGTCCGGGATTCCTGGGCGGGGCGTTACAAATGGTATCAGAGCTAAACCAACCAGAATTGTGAGAGCTAAGTGCTATGCGGCGCAAAGTGCTACGTCGAGAGGACGGGAGCCACCTCTTGAGGCCGTAGGAGCCACCTCTAGAATCTCACACGGATGGTACAGTCTTGGATGATATGATTTGGCGCAACGAGGACGTTGCGAGTTTAAGTGGGGGAGTTTGTAATACCCCAACCCTTGAGAGGGTGATGTGATTAGTATTGATAGATTTGATTGGAATACTCATACCACCAAGATGCATCTTCTTTTCGGGAACCCACCTCTTAAAAACTCCAAAGTTAAGCGTGCTTGGCCTGGAGAAATTCTAGGATGGGTGACTCCCTGGAAAGTTTTCCAGGGAGCGCGTGAGTGAGGACAAAACGTGTTGAAAAGACATGTGGTGATTTGTGAGGTCATTCCATCAGATCTAATAGCGTACCGACTCCGGGATTCCGGGGCGGGACGTTACATAAATACCTTGTTTCCTCCAGGTAAATTGCATCGGTTACTTTACATTGTGCAGCAGTCTCAAATTCAATGCATTATGTAACGTGTAATTTCTTTCCTCTGATTTTTTTAGTTGTGTGCCTGATGTTCCTTAAATAATTTATCTATACGCAAGCTTACAAAATCCTTTTTTTCTCCTTTGTGTATCTCATGACCTTCAAGCTAAGAAGGCGATTAGTGGGGGCTATGAATGTTATGGGCACTATAGTCTTGATTATATTAAAACTAAACTGAGTACGGTAGTAGTATTTCTTCCTTTAGAAACCACTAAGCAGTTGCATTATCTGCTTTTAAGTCCATATAATGCTTTCGATTTTATCAATTCTATCTATTCAGTCCGTTTCATCATTAAAATATGAGTCTACTTAGCTTGGGAAACATGATGGGGTGCCATTTGCTCCTTAAGTGAAAAATGATGAGGTTCTCCATCTGAAGTGGTTCGTAATTTTTTTTTTTTTGGTCAATGAAAAAGTACTTTTATTAACCAAATATAGGAATTTGAGTACATCAACTATTCAGGTGAGGACCTGAAGACAAATTTCCGAAACATGATTTGGAAGAACAAGACTTTACAGTTTATCTAACCTCTCCCTCATGTGTACATGAATATCATCATTCAGAATTTTGGAGAAAATTGCCAACTTAATAGCATGGCTTTCAAAAATTACACGCCTCGAAACGTGCCTTTGTGGGCGCGAGTCTTCAGTGTGCTCTTGGACTTTGATGCGCAAATTGGTGCGCGCAGTTGCCTTGAGCTCTTTGTCATACTAGAGGTGATGGTGACCCCCAACGTGTTGAGTCGTTCTGGGCTTCTTCATTGGGCCCAAATGCT